GTGAACATTTCATTTGGACCTGTCATAGAACAGGAATGATTCTTGCTGGGAGCAGCTGTGTGAAAGGTGGAGACAGTGGACACGTGTGTGTGTCCCTGAGTCAGTACCCGATGCCTGGTTCAGATGAGTCTGCCTGCTCTGCTCATGTTCTGTTAAAGCTCAGCATCATCCTCCTCTGGCTTTTGAAACTGAGGCTCCGCATGTTGTAGTGTAGAAGCTGGGGGCCAGGACACAGGTTGGCTCTGTAGTGGGGGTGTGGCTGTGAGATCAGCAGCCCCCCAGCTGCTCCGTGTAACGCCAGTGCTGATACCCCTGCAGTGGCCAACAGTGGTGGGAGTACCAATGCCTGTGGTAACCACTGCTGATCCCATGTAGAACCACTGACTGGTCTGTTTGTATTTTTACTGTACATAAATTAAAGCCTCTTCAGTTCTTCAAGTGACTCAAAGTTGTGACTCTTCAAATCAAACTTGAGACTAGAGGGAGGTTTCTGCTGTGCCTGGGCACACGAGCCACGGTCCCTTGTTCTGTGACTGTGACCGACTCTTGCAGCCTCAGTGCATGGAAGAAATGAAGCAGCTGCTTCTTTCTGCCTCCGAGCTGATGACTTTCACCCAGAAATTATTTCAGCACGGTTGTTTTATAGTGGTTTTGACACAGAATGTCTGTGCATCTGCTCTTTGTGCTGGAGTGAGAGCCCTAAAGCCACCAAGGTGCCTAAAACCCCCTCTTCAGCGCTGGAGCCGTAGGCACGGCGTCTGGGGCAGCAGTAGCTCTGGCAGTGTTGCTCCACGCACAAGGAAATGTCCCACGTTTGGGTCAGGCCATCCCAGCTGGAGCCAGCTGTGGTGCAGGGAGCACAGCTGGGACCGGGGGATGAGATTCTGTGTTGAGGGTGCAGCAGCCGGGCTGGTACCACTGTGCTCCCCCCACCATCTGCTGTGGGTTCAGGGAATGTCTGTGGGAAAGGCCCCGGCTCACCACTGTGTCCACCTACGTGAAAAAGGGTGAAGTGTTCCTTGCTTTGTGCTACAGGCAGCTTCCTAATTGGTTTCAACTTCCAAACCCACTTATTTTCTGCTGCCCAGGATCTGACCAGCCCTTGGAGAAGCTGTTTGCAGTGAGGGGCTGTAAGAGGCCTCCCCTGTCACAAGACCTGACAAGTCTGGGGGTTCTCACAGGATTTCCTGCGAGTCAGATCCTCAGGTGCCACTTTGCCCTGTTCTCTTGCCATCAGCTGTCTCTGGCTGCGCTGTGTTGGGTCAGGAGGGGCTGTGTGTGTGTGTTGCCGTGGTGTCACTTCAAAGTTTCAACACCACACAGTGTTTCACCGGGATCGCTTGGTGAATGGCCGCGGGTGGGCAGCCTGGAGCGGGGCTGCTGGCCTGGGAGTGGGGTGGGGAGGCAGCTGCTGAATTAGGGGTGTGAGAGGGGGAGCGGGATGGGAACGGCAACTGGAAACCTCTGAGCGATGCCTTTCCATGATCACTTGAGCAGCACTTGAGCAGCTGTAGTGCATGGAGGGATCCGTCCCTGCAGTTACACATCTCTCGGGCTCCTCCTCCCTCTCGAAGGCTGAGCCAACTCCTCTGCCCTCGTTAAAACCTCTTTTATTGTCTCTGTTAAGGTGGCCTCTGCCAGGGTCTAAAACCAAGTGACCACTGAAGATCTCAGACACTCAGCACTGTTACCATCCCTTAGATTTGGCCACTTTATCCTCCTGTCCTGTGCAGCGTCCCTCTGACCCGGGCTCAGCTCCACGCCTCCGGAAGGACGGGGTGTCTGTGGGCGCAGCGCTCCTGCCGCCCGGGGGTCGCGGGTTTCGGGTGGCAGCGCTCACTCCGGCGCGGTGCAGTGGGACCCCGCTGCCCGGGGGGGCTCCCGAAGCGGCGCTGCAGGGGTGTGGGGAAGCAGAGCTGCTCAGGGAGGGACATCCCTCCTGTCAGGATTGTACAAACAGCGACTGCTTCCAACCCCGCCC